AGCGGCGCGGCAGGCGTTGGATCTTAAGTAGTATTTGTCGGGAAAACGGGATAGAAAAGACAGCGCCAAAAGATGTACGCATTCCAGAAAAAAACTACGCGACTTAGTGTTAGATGTCCGAACAAAAGCACTTGAAAATAAAACAGGATAACGTAAAATAGTTCAGTCACTCAACTACTGTATCATCAGTTGGAGCCTGAGGATAAAACATGGTAATCCAAAGGTGAAAGTGTTGTACAGGTGAGACTCACAGAGGCGAACAGAACACCAAGCAATTCCAGGGGACAAAACAACAGAATGTCGTAGACCAAGCTGAGCCACTTCACGGAGCCTGGTGGGAAAAGAGCGAAATTGGTTTGGGACGAACTGAATTCTCGAGGTTCAACAGGTACTTCAAAATCCATTTCGAAACACAGATACGAATGTGCACATCAGAACTAATCAGGTTGGTCGTTTGTTCAAACACATGACGGTGGTTGCAACGACAAACATGACTAGGAGATGTTTCGAAGAATGCGCTTGTGGGTTGTCACTATGACTCACCCCTCAAGAGGTACGATGGACCATGGAAACTAATGCAGATAAGACTAAGACAACTGGGGCCTCATAAGCCAAGACCAGCACCAATAAATGAGGATCAACTCCAAACTTACAGTTCGGTCAACCTAACAAGCTCTGAGACAAACATGGAACATACAAGTTCAACGTATTATCGCCCACTATGTGACATGCCATCAAGCAGTTTAGGATAACTAGTTACTGAAGATAACCACTTCAGGATCGAAAAGTGGTCCTGAGCAAAAAAGTGTCTCGTTTCTACCCCTGTTGTAGTATTGCCACTACTGTCTTATATGACCAGAAGTAGCTTCTTAAGGATAACTAGGCGAACGGCATTTTCATAGCCGTAGTTCTCCAAAGCAGTCACCTGAGCCTCAGGAGAGCGGGGGGGATTATAAAGGAAACGGAAAAGTAGTTACCTTAAGAAGTGCGCATAACTGTAATAATTTCTTGACATTTGTGCAAAGAAGCTTGCTGGCTTCTATATCAAGTTTATCAAAGGCACCAGGATATCCTACTAACCAGGAGGTTTCGATAAGTGTCCAACCAAGGACATTTTGACCTTTGTTATGTCGGAGCGGTTTATCCTCAGGGTGCACCCAAGCAGAAGGTCGCACAGATCCCGAGTGGATTGTGCGCAGCGGTCTTCCGTCCAATTCAGAAACTTGGCTTGAAGCATAGTTGGAGAAAACCGAGTCGTCAATCGGAGAAGTCCGCCTCCCCCAAGAAGACGAAGTGCCAGTATGTTGTACTTTTCACAGACTGAAATGAAATGAAAAGAGGTGCACGAGAAACGTTAAGGTAAAAGGAAAGGGCTAAGTACCCCCTAGAGGTGCTCACAAAACACGAGTGGTGGTGCAGGTTAATCCTCAATAACATTGTACCGTCCTGTTTGAACTTCACCGGAGGCTGATGCGTTTGGGTATGATCGCGAGTCACACCTGGGGAACTTTATTCGAAGAAAAGCATCTGGATTCACCGAAGACACTCATCAACAAAAACATTAGCTTATACAGATACATGGTAGAAAGAGTAAAATTACATGCTGAACACGCCGGTGTGATCATAAAGTATAATAATGGAAAGAGCGTACTCCTTGAAAGTCCCCCTCAATGAGCGTCTCTCGGGGATGTTGACAGCGCCATGCGCGTGGTGATTCCTATAAAAAGAAAAGGCTGGAACGTTCGCTGTCTGTAATTTATTCCCTACGGGGCTGCTGTTGACGTGGCGACCCGATTCTGTAACCAGTTCTGAAGTCTACGAAGCTACCATCGGATAATCTTGCTCCTGTAGAAATCGGCGACGCAGATTTCAGGGTGCGGATTCCCAACCAGGAGGCTCATTGTTTCACCTAACCCTGTATCCGGAAGCGTCCAGACACGAAAAATACACGTCCGGAGAACTACGCGTCCCAGGTAAGCAATCGGTACCACACGTTCTCGATAGCAGGCCGTTAACACAGATTACCAAACACGGTTTAGCAGCGTGCAACCAGTGGAGTTGGTGTGAAATTGTTCACGGCGGAAAGGTTGCCAATGGCTGGAAGGAACGAACAAGTGGATGACCATTACTGGCCATTTAACCACTCTATATATTTACGCAGAAGCTGGTATGTTTGTCCTGACAATACACCCTTGTCCCGGGTTCTGTCATCTCCTTATCGGGGCAGGCTCATTCCCGACGTAACCAATAGACGGCCACCCACGATACCATACCCTGACATCCTAATGTTGCATTTTAGGGCTCAAGTAACTCGGCTATTTTTTAGCTCTCGTACTTCCCCTTTGAGAGGTCATCTTTCAAGAGATGCTTCCGAGTAGGATAAATGGGATAGAGAAAGAATCACATCACAGCCTACCTGCGCTGAACTGATAAAACGTTGATTGTGTCCGACTCTTTTAAGTAACTTTTGTGACTGTGCCATGACATTTCGCATCGTCCTGAGATCCCTACACTTATTCCATAACCACATTTATGTGACTGAAACATACTAGTGCGCGACGGTAATCACTTCTTATCATCTAGACCACGAGTAGTGGTAGACTGATTCGCCGAGCTTCGTAATGGTTTGCAAGTGATCTATTGCTAATCGACCAGACGTTGTCACTGTCATGGGATTTCAAAGAAAATCTGATCGCAAGTGGTGTGATTGGCTGATTGGTGTGCATCTTCCTCGTAATACTACTTGTCCGTTTGCAATATGTTTCGCGTCGTGGTCTGCAGTTCACTCATTCGATTGGTCCGTTGAGTAGCTTTCTGAGTCTTGGTCTCCGCTCTGATTGGTCGTTGGGGCGACTTCGATTTTTAGTGGTTTTATTTCTTCGATTTGATTAGCCCACCGTCAATTGATGCCGCTAACTAATCCCGAATTTGATTGTTTGGTTGTACTTCCCTGTTTGATTTACTTTTCCCTGTTGTGCTGGACCAGTGAACCTACCTGATTAACAAAAAGTTCGACACATTGCCAAGGTCGCGACTAACAATGGATTCTCGTGCCACGTGAACAAAGAGAAAACAATTCCAGTTATTGGGAATTCGACAAAAATCCAGTTATCGTGTACTGCTATTTTCTATCCTCTCTGTGCATTGCCCCCAATCGATACTCGGCAGTGTTGCGCCAACAAATGGTGCAGCCTAGAAGTCCTCAGCTAAATGATTGGTTAAGCTGATTCTAGTCCAGTGAAGAGGTCCCCAGCGATAAGGCGGGATAGCACACCATTAGTGCTTCAACGTGACGGTCGAATTGTAAATGGAGATCACTGGTATGGGTATTTTCTTTATAGCATCTAATGTTCCGGAGTGAATCGGAAAGACCAGAAAGTGCTTGGTTTTCAGTTCTAGAGGGTTGGAATAGCAAGACCAAAATTTCCATTTCAGTGGAAGTGTTTCCTCACGGTACGGGACTACTCTAGCCACCTACCAAAACGACCACAAAACTGAACGATTCGAAAATTATTATTCCAGTACGAACACAGATTTGGAAGAAGCACTCCTTACAGGAGGTATGCATTAATAGAAGGTGGTTACAAACTTCTTGCAGCAACGGCTCAACAAGACAATGTTCTGTTAGGAACTCAGGAATAGAGTAGTCCTGCTGAGGGATCGAAAACAGGCGTTGCAAGGCAGTGAGATGACAAAATCGGGTATGAGAATTTTACCTTTTTGCTGTCCACAATCCACAAGAAACTGTTCCAGATCGCCCCACCTTTCGAACAGCATCCCTGGCATATACCACTGACTCCAAATAGCCAAATCCACCAATGCAGGACAGGCGGCTAGGAATTCCAGAACACCATCGCGCTGGGTGAATAACACCGACGTGTCGACCGACCATGAAACTGCTGAGGAGATCTGAGAGTCTCCTGTTGAAGGGAACTGTTTCGATGCTATCGCCAGCGGAGATCCGAGATGCTGACTGAAAAAAAACGAATGAAGGGAAAAGCACTGATCGACGCAGTAGGAAGCCAGCACAAATGCGGTTTGGTTGGCAAGGATGCCACTGTGACCCGGCCCCATATGGGGTCGCCAAAAAATGGCCATATGAGCATCCAGGTTGGCAAGACGTTCGTATCGTGATTCGAAAGGATATCTTGTCAGGTACTTTACCAAACATCGCCACGGAAGTTGCTGAAATCATCACAAACCAAACAGCTTGTACTTATTAATTGCTGTCCTGCGGACATATCAGTGCGTCCTCGCGTGCTTCAATAGCGTTAGGAGGAATTCGACACGGATCCCGCTTTACCGCTCGCACTCAGGTGCTGCTACGGCCGAGATTGGCCACGAATTCGGGACACTTGCCGGTCCAGCATCAAGCCGAGATATGATTGGTCGAAAGTCTGGACCCGACAGCCAATCATGACCCAGTATTGGCAGAAGCGCTGTACATGTGTTCCTGACTTCGTTTTAGGCGTTAATATATCTTGTGCACCTTTGGTGGTTGTTTTGACGTGAACGCTAGCTTAAGAAGCTCAGACCGAGAACTAAGCTGAGAAAAATGCCGTTACTACAAATGGGTCACTCTAGGAGAAATTACTATGGGATTTCCTGTCGTGTCACATCTCCATTTTTCATCACTGCGAAAGTGGAGTTGCCTATGCAATGCGATCAAATGAGAAGACCGGGTCTTGCAGACCCATGTGACACCTGCAGGTTTTTGTATTACACGATACGTGGATACTACTTGAACGATTGGTAAACCTAAGTAGGCAGACGACCGATTCGTACAGCGTGGCAATGTGAGTGTTCTAGTTGCAGCTAGTAGTGTCTAAGGCATATACAAAACCCATTTCCATGTGGACCCTAATTTAGAGGTATTGGCATTGCAATTGAAACAAACCTTTAGTGAAGAAAACAAGGAATAAGTCCGAATGGAAATTGGTGCAAGTCCGGTGAGAACAATTAGCTGATAGTCACGTGCAGACCAGTAAATGAACAGACCATGTGCATTTCTTGGTAGACAGTGTCAGTGACGACCACACAGCAAGATACCAACACATCTGGGTGAATGCTTGTGTTGCAGAAAGGTTTCGACAGAATGGGCCTAGACTCATCACGCACGAGCACAGCTCCGTGCTGGTTCGTACATAGTCATGTTCTGGGGCTCGAGAAAAAAATAGATGATCCAATTTAATAATACAGAAATCAAAGAGTTTCCGTTTTCAAGATATTCGAAAATTATGCTTCTGGTTTTATCGTTTCAGAAATCTCAACTAGTAAATTACAGCTATCATTTGGGATTCTGCGTGAGTCGATCCTGTAGATAAGGTCTTTTAACGGGAAATCTGGGATATTTAGGTTTGCAGTGTTTTTGGCTGGGTGTGCTCCACACTATGGAAGAATTTAGTGGGAGGCAAACACGGGAGATCGAAGGTATTGAAAGATAGAAAAGGAAGTATCAGTGATCTGAAGAAGTGAATACATTCAACAGATCCAGTGGTAGTGTGACATTAGGACGTCAGCAGGCCTCCTTGACTTCTGATGCCCTAACCTCACGGATGGCTCAGGTCCACTGATCTACTCTCCACCCTCCAGGTGATAGGACCATGTGCTAGCTTACGTGATTCAATAAACAAGGTTAGGTGTGGCGATCGATCACGTGACATGAAGCACATGACTAAGCCAGTCAATCTGGCTCAGTTTAGTCAAATAAGCAGGTGAATGTATCCGCCACAATATTTGTACTTTTAAATCTTGAACTAAAAGATTACCTAGTTAGACAAAATAGTGCATCTACTGTGTGAGAAATCTAGTTCCCTCCTGGGTACGTCGTGCGCTATCCGTCACAAGAATTCTTACTGCGATTAGGCCTCTCGCGACAAGCGGGTCACAGTAATGCGATAACCACGCTCTTGCTCACAATCTTAATTCAAAGCTACTACACATATCAGACGATTGGAGGACGGATTAAGGAGCAGAACGATCATGTCAGAAGTATGCATTCAAGAACATTTCATAAGGCTTGCGTAGCCTGATCCAGCCACTTGAATCCAGTTTTCAAGTCAAAACGAGAATTCTACCAGCAAGTTTTTTTTTCTGGAACTGAGCTCGGAAGAACAAAGTACCAATCACAAATCTGAGATCGTTTCACAAAAAATCTCAGTTCCTCCACAACCTAACTTGGACGATAGGTCTCTATCACTATCAACCGTTAAGTGACGAATCCTCTTGACTACTTGCTCATTCCTGATAGCAGTAAGGTAAATCTATTTCTGAAGAAAATATGTAATTGATGCTTTTTTGCTCTTGTTGTAGTTGGTTTATCAGAGAGAAAACAGCATAAATCTGCAGAAAGCGAACACTTACTGATAAAGAACAGGTTCCTGGATGTACTGTTCTTCCTCAGAGAATTCCATCGTAAGAGAACGAACTATCTGTTCTAGGTTATCTGTACGAGCGACTTGGAAATGTGAGCTCACGAGTTGACAAACATCCTGCAACGAATAGAAAGCACATCAGATGACGGGCACATACGAAATCGTTTCGAGCTGAACTTTAGTTGAACATACTTCATATTACGGAAGCAGTTCAATTAAATGGCCCACTTAAATGATGAACACATTGCTTAGTCCATAGCCAACATACTTACCTCCACTGAACGGGACTTTACCCACGTTAACTTTGCTATGAACTGATGGATTGTGAATGGATCCGGTAGACCTGGGGAGACAACAGTCTGCCCAACTGTTGTGCCTTCTGTTTGCTCCGTGGTTGGGTCCAGTAGTTGGGCTGTTGCACTTTTGTGTAGATATAACACCTAGGGAGCAGAAGGTTCCGAACACGTTAGTGATAATATCACATGCGCCGTTATCTAGAACTGTACATAAGCTACCTCGAGTTCAGGAATTAAGCTGGGATTCAAGTAGAACCGTTAAAACCAAATTGGTGGATGGTGGTACGGGATTTTTAGAATTCACACTCGCTTGAAGGGTCCTTCTTCAGTCTCGGTGCAAACAACCCGTGAATCCACACCTAAGGGTAGAATCACTGAACCCGAGTTTCACTCTTGCCAGAACTCATCACAAGTGCAAATTCCTGACCGTACCTAGATTTAGACGCCGGACATCTGATATGCGAGCAGAGTGCGTTAACAGCGCATGCTCGAAGCACCTAAGTATCACGTATGAAGGGGAGAATGTGTTCCGCCTGCTTCATATCATACAAGACAGACAGAACCATTTGACGCCCATGAGCTGAGCGAGTAAATGTTTCCAACTCTTAGGTCTCGATCCCTTAGTTCCATTAGTCTCGATGAACGAAAGTGCACCAGTTGAAACCGCTGTGTTTTGGTGCACGGTTTTTCAGCTGAAAAACTGAACTGTTGGAATACCCGTTTTACCTAACTTGTATACATGGAAGCGTGTCGAAATGCAGGACGGTGCACAACTAGGACGTTAACCTATCCGAGTCAAAACGCTGTCTATCCAACCCAATGCTGCATGACTCAATAGTCCGCATGCTGTCTATTGTTGATTACTGCGCTTTACTACGATATTCTGAAGTAGCCATGTTTACTAAATCTGTTTCGGTAAACTCCCACCGGAGGACAAGCCAACTCTATCACTACCTTATACCGCACCTCTTCGTACTCGACAAACTGCGGGAGAATCTCCACAAATGGTGACCCAACGTCGGACACCGCAGATGGACCAGAGGAAGTTCGATTCGATGACAGACAACCAAGTATGTAGTTGCTTTCCTTGATGACAACTCAAACTCTCACACGGTCTAGTAGTGTGTTGACAAAGTCCCATTTGAGCGAAAGTATATTTCTACAACGCCCGGTTTCTATCAGTCTGTCCGTAATGGAATCAAGATTTTTTGAATGCAAAAATTGCCGTATCGTACCATCGTACTGCGCGGATTTATCAACATCGAGGAAGCTAGCCGAGAATCACCAAAACATCTGTTCGATCCTCCACTCTGAAGTCGGGAAAAACGGAGCGCACTGCAGTGATCCTAAACAAATGCCATATTAACAAATTCCTATCAACCTCCAGCTGACGACTCAGCTATTCTATCGTTTTATGCAGGTTCGGTGTCGATACATTGGGGTGACTACGTACGTTGAGTATGTCGGCAAACCACCAAAGCCATCTGAAAGGGAAGCTAAAAACGACTTGGATGACAGAGGCTGAACTAATTTGAACTAAATCGGTCTACCTGAATACCCTGACGGCAAATGATGAGAGTCACTTGAACCATCATTATTCCCAATGTAATATAACTTCAGGCTGGTCTGAGAAAACTATACCTCAGTGCCTGACATTGGATCGTGGAAACACAAGAAGTCTAGTCTAGAAGAAAGGACGAGCCAGCTCTCAACATCATTCACGTAGAAAAATCAGTGTCCAAATAACGATAACGCCTAATACTCGACTATGCGAGTGCTGCAGACCTCGTATTGTGCTGTCACATGGACCACAACACTATTCAACCAAGGTCCACATGAGAAAGTAGACGTCAATTTTCATCCTTGGCTTAACTCAGCTTAACCTGCCTCTCCGCACGAAAAGTTAGAGTAACACATACTGACAAAACAACAGTCACCTTGGGTAAATCCTCGATTCCTTGCTCGGCAGCTTTGGCAAGTAATGCCAAGAGGGTTTCCGGAGATTTATTGGACTTATTATGCGATTCTAGTAAGCGAGATTCCAGGTTGGCCAGCGACTTCCAAAGACCTTCATCTTGATAGGATCCGCCAACATCACTCTCGCGACTCTCAGATTGTTCCAATAAGGTCTTCAATTCATTAACAACGTCCGTCAAAGTCATATTAGTAACTGGGAGGAAACGAAATTGGTAGGTCAAGAGTGTTGAGTAGGACCAGAAAAGCTACAATAAATAACAGCAGCAAGCGGTCTAGAGTTCAACTGTGAATATTGTGAAATGATAGCCCAGTAGTTAAGGAGCAAACTCACCGAACCGAAGATCTGCAGTTAGAAACCCAACCCCGACAGCTCGACTGTTCCTGTCTAGGTTTGGGTAACCTGACAATACCTCAGCCCTCGTGCTGTATTGGGTTAGCGTGACAAATAGATACCGAAATTGCTACAGCTGAACAATTATTTAGTCATTATTTTCCCACTATCCGTCTGACAGGACGGCCTGATTCTGGAAGTCGGACACAAATACTTGATAGACTTATTATCGTTACGTCATTATTACAGGTAGGTCCGTTAGGTCCTAAAACTTAGGCACCTAAAATTGACCATATGGTGAATGCACAATGACTGATGTAACATTTGCAAGGGTCATACAGGTGACGCAGAGGATGAATAATCGAGATAACGAAGATAACCGCACCACTATCCAAATCGCCACAGTATTGACACTAGGGCTTCGTATACTTATCGAACCATAGTCCGGGATACAAGTAGAGCGATCGGAACACTTTTAAAAGCGGCTCTTGTTTGGTCCACTTAAATTGGCATTTTGTTTGTAGGTTTTTCGCCACCGATCGAAGTGATATTGTAGCCACCTCTTCACCCACATACATGACTGTACGGCTCACCGCCACTCACTAGATCACGAGATCCGTCTTTTTTCCTACACTGACAAATCAAGCCACAATAGTGATTAACTTGACTACACAGCTCACAGTCGCTTCCTGCATCACAAGTCTCGCTTTTTTCCCTACACTTACAAATCACGACACACAAGGGTGACCCATCTGATAATGATTGTCTACCGTCTGATAAGCGTAGCAACAAGTCATGTGCTGACGAACCCACGTACACGCAAACTGACCTACATATAGGGAAACCGAACGCAGTCAGCTCACTCGCGTGCGCGCAGGGAACAGGAACTCAACCGCTCCCCAAAAGTCCACGGACAAATATGGAACACATGTAGCAGCTATTCTGCGGAGAAAACACGTTCCCGCCGTCCAGACTTTCACCAAGGAACTTTTACAGACAATAAGTTCCTCTTTTGATTGCTCCCACTGGAACACATGTAGCAGCTATTCTGCGGAGAAAACACGTTCCCGCCGTCCAGACTTTCACCAAGGAACTTTTACAGACAATAAGTTCCTCTTTTGACTTGCTCCCACTTTGAATTGTATTTATTTTTATACGCGTTGCATCTCACCATTGTCAAATTTTATGGGTGCATATTCCTTCTGAATTATATTATGGCTACCATACACTGTGCCCTAATGATATCATCAAAACTAATCACAAAAAAGGACAAGAGACATTCATACGAACTCAACTACCAACTTATGCCTGCACAGTTTGGAAAAGTTATACACTATGCAGGCAGTTCGTCAGTTCCTCAATGTTCACACTATATCTCACAATCCAAGATAGGATACTTCAAGAACACATTTGAAAAGTTAGCAGAAGATTCGAGCCGAAAACTTTCTAGAGGTCAGTGTATCTGACAACGACTGATCGGATAAGTCGGGAGGATTGGATGGTACCAGGACAGATGTTTACAGCTAACTCACATAAACCTCAATTTGTGGGGCTTCCGAAGAGGGGGCCACAATTTATGGTCTCATTAGATCTGCAATGGGAAGGTCCATTGGACTTCTGAAGTGAAAACACTTGCGAACCTAAGAAAACTGTGAACAAAGATGTGGACAGTTTGCGTACACCACTATTGCTGTTCAACGGACATAAAGCTAAAAACACAAAGACCGTTTTCATATAGCTTACTTCCATCATCTTCCACAACAGCCGGAGTTTCAGGTGTATCTGTGAGATCAACAACAGGGCCTGGTCCGGATTCGAAAACCTTATTGAGAACAGCCTCTACCAAGCTTTCCAACGAAGCAGGTGAGCGGTTAGATACGACGAGCACCATCTGGAGAAGACTTCGAAAGGGCTAGAAAGCGAATGATGAAGCCAGTGTGCTAGATCATTTTACAAAGAAGAGCACATGGATGCATGACTAATACGTGATCCTCGGTCATCGTCTACCCAGTAGAACAAAGTACTAATTCGGACGGACAAACGACTCGGTTGGAGGGACTGAACGAAATATCCTCTCATTTCAACAGTTGATGTGAGGTACGTTAAAGTTTTTAGGTAAAAACTACATCATGCAACAGGATGTTTCAGACTCACCCCAGTTCTCGACGTTTGCTGTAAAAATTGGCCAAATGAAACTAAGGAATTCAGGTGCCCTGGTGGCCAGGTCAGCCCGCGTGTGGTAGCCCAGTTGTTCAACGCTTCGTACAATCTGGAAGCACACTCGCCCAGATGCTGGAGAACCTTAGCCGACTTTTGAGCTCGAAACGCACCTGAAAAATATTTGGGAACCGCAGGTAAGCAGTTTGTAAAATTAAATCTAAAACCCATGAGCAACCGAATCAAAGGTCTTAAGAGTAGCGTGGTAACGCTCGTAGGATGCTGACGGTAGACGTCACTCAGATTACTGGGACGAGGACAATATCTGACACTGTGTCTCTTAGCGAGCGCTACGAATACGAAATAGGTGTAGTGAACAATCTTATGCCGTGAAAACATGGACACAGTTAATATCTGATTTTTCCTATCGTCCACTTGAGTGGATACAGTTGGGAGGAAGGACACCATGTGAAGGTTGCGACAGCAGAAACAAAAGGACAAAAAAAGACCAAGAAGGCACTGAGAACGCATAAAGAACGGGTGAACGTAGGAGTTATCAAATCAGAGAGGATTGGACAAGTAAACGCTGATGAGAAACTCAAGTAACTGGATGTCACAGGAGGTTAGTGAAGCAGAGTGAAAGTAGTTTGAAACCTGGCATTTCCGGAAGAATGGAAGAAGGGAACAGATCAATAAGGAGTAGAAGAGGAAATCGGGATTGAGCTGAATGACTGGAAGTAAAGAAGTGAAACAATTGGAACGCAAGGGGTGAATTCGAGAGAACGGCCACCGGAGTAGTCGCATCCCAGCAATGAGAAGCCACTCGGTCAACGGTGGAAATAGAACCCCACTGGATTTGGTAAAGTTATCAAAGGTAAGAAACCACCCTTTAAAACGGTACGAGATGACGAGACAAAGAGATGGACAAGCATTATGTACAAGTAAGTAACCTATCCAAAGCCGTCACCGTGTAATTGGACCTCAATGCTACAATGATTCTGCGAGCAACAATTACGGAAACTGAGTTCTCTATGGCTCGGCCACACGGAAAAGGTCAAAGAGGAGCACCTCGATAAAAATTAGCAGATCTCCGTACCACAAAAAATTGTACTGCGAGGCATTGTGGAGACAAAGGCATACTGTCCTCTGAGGCAGCACCAAGATCTTTCCTTCAGGTGACCAACATGACTGTATTCACGAAAGAGGCAACGCTGTATTTCCCCGAAGGACGGGTTATAAAATGTCGACCCTACAAACAGCACACTCAGATCGCCCAAGGTTGGTCGTGATAACCGGTACATTGCCCAACATAATCAAAATACATTTAAAACCCAAAGAATCTAGTCCCGTTCAGAAGGTACCTGCTAGACACAGTCGCATTGGGAGACGGTTGTTCGTTACACCCTGCACTCTCGGGCCAGGCAAGCCACGTGCAGTCAAATAGGTCAGACTATTGAGTCATTGGCTCCGAGAAGGATCCCTCAAGAAAACCCTAACAACCACCACCTCACTTTTCAAACTTTCTAGTCAGAAGCTAGGGTAGAGGTTCCTCATCACATTGTGGGTCAGATTATTGAGTCAACGTTCGGGGTGGGATACATCAACCCAACTTCTTTCTTTGGCCTGGACAACCGAGAAGTGGCATTCATATTTACAGCTATTTTTTTATCCATCTCTCGCAGCACGTCCCTCACCCAAGTCGTTCCGGTCCACTTAGTTGTCAGTCACCTAATCATTGCTCTGTGTCAAAGCAGATCACTGCTTTCAACGTTCGTACTCTGTGTCAAATGGAACAGCAGACAGCTGTTGCTCAGATATTGTTCTTTATTCCTACCAATGTATGACGCGGCTCCGAAGCATGCATACAAGATCTCATTTCGGTTATTCGTCTCAAACAGCTTGGGACGGAGTCAGATATACTGCACTTCGCTCTTCGGATGTCCGGTTACATTGATGCAAAGTATCAGGGTATCTACATGGTATCCAGTTAACACGATCCGAATTGACAGATTTCCATCCTGCAGCTGATCCTACCAGGGAACGAATTTTCAAGCAAACCGGTCTGCATCGAGTTACATTTTGTCAAAAACAGGTCAAAATGACTAGCATGTCATACAGTCACTAACGAATATACAAACAACGCAACATGCACACACCGACATAAGTTCCAGGATATACGCACCTTTAAACCAGCCGACATCCACATGACGGTAGACTGACCAGCTATAGGCTCAGCACGTTGTAAGTGTTTTAATAATCACCTGCTCTTCGAGAAAGACTATCAAGATGTCGGATAGTTTTTCTTAATGTATCCATCCTGCAGTCAACAGCATTTTCACCATAGATTCTATTCCACTTTATTACCAGAAGTTCTTCCTTAAAAATTTCGTACTTCTAGTTGAAGCCGTTGTGCTACAATGTGACAAGCAAGCTGCCGATTGTGATTGTCTACCGGTGAAACGTCAATCACGATCCCACTAGTGATAAGCCAACAAAAAGCAACCTCCGTAATTATATTACTGATAGGGTAGATGGTTATTCTCATCAGATCGCTGGTGACAAGAAACTCAACTCAACGACCGGTCCGAGGACCCATCACGCTGGTCTTCACTAATTGCCGTGAGGGCTCGGTGACAATCAACTGGGCGGTGGATGCAGCGCGGATAAAAGAAACCCTGATTCTGCAAAGCATGGTGACGACTAGCCACATGACTGATAGTGTTTCAGACTAGTTATGGATAGTGATTTAGCATAACCATTCGTTTTGACCCGTTCACCCACATCTCGAGAGATCGCAAGTTAGCGCGTGGGGTCTCCGACACCCCAGATATACTTGAGCAAGGTAGGTGATCACGCATTGTTTATGCATTAGCTTCTCTGTTGCAAAAGGTTATTCACATTTCCATTTTAACGGAATTGTTGCGATTACACGAAACGAGTAGGCTGGGAGTTCTCTGCGAATTGAATGGGAAGGCACAACACACTACTCATAGGGTTGCTGAAAACTCTTCGACATCCAATAGACCGCTTTCACCCTTCTTGGGGTCCATCAGGTAGGTAAATTCCCCAAGTTTCTGTTAACCTTATTTTCTGCTTGAACCCAAATTGCACGAGATTCGATTTATACACTCATTTGAATGCAAATTTGGTTTTGACGGGGGACTCACCTGAAACCCAGTTGACTTCCTCGTTTCCGATGTTCTTAAGCAGTGTATTACATCTATACAGTGTATTGCAATATCTCCAATATCGTATCAACTTAAACATGGGGCGGCAGCATCTTCGACTGCTTAAGAACATCGTAAACGAGAGACACAGCTAGATTCCATGTGAGACTCCAAATTCGTATGCAAGTGAGTGTAAAAATTAAATGAAAGAACATTTACACCTGATAACAGAAAGAACACAAGTTAATATAGTATGGAAGTCACTCACTTATACTGTCACAATCAAAAAACTCCTCAGCAAACGTTGTATACATTCTTTTCACGTCTGTGTTCAGACACTCTTGGGCAATCGAACTGGCCTTGCTAAGATTCTCTGGACGGAGGTTGTCATTCACAGACTGGCAGAAATACGGGAGATGGACAAAATCAGACAGAGTTCGCTTACAATAATGAAGGCTACAATCAGAACAAGACTCCAAACAAACGAAATTCTAACAAACAACTCACCTTAATTAAATCACCGAATCCGTTGATGCGAATCCCATAAGGAGCCAGAGCACCAAGGGAGTAGTTGAACATGTTATTACGATCCAGCTGTCGCGGTATTGAAGGATCGCCCAGTCGGAGAAGCAAGTGGTGTGCGAATACGGAATCCCACCATCGATGGGCCGTTTCCGCTGGACGACGAAACCTATTCCGACAAACACATTCCATCAATTCTTGCAGGACTTCCTCGTGTGTCATACGCAAGCAAGCCGGTTCGCCAGATCCCGCAAAACAAGCTACGATTCGAGGATGGAAACATGAAGTGCGACAAATTTCTAGTGCAGCAGGGAAAGCGAATATGGGGCCAAGTTGAGCATGTTCGGGAAATTCCCGCTGAAATTGGCAAGAGATAGATGGGCAACAGTGTAGATTATGACACTGAACTAAAAGGAATATGTCCACTAGCATTAGAAAAATGAATCATCCATATGAAAATGAGGATTTGTAGGGTTTCATATGGCTACAAATAACTTAGGCCCAAATATCCTAGGTATGCGATCTGATCCGTTTTCACAAATGACCTGATAACCGTCAAAAGTCAGCTGTTTGGTTTTGCAACTTAAATCAGAACGAGATACCTGACCACTCCCAAGAAGCGGGGCGGACAACCGGTCCGATCGCCCATTGAAATATACAGAGGATTCGTAACATGAAAAAACCATCCACACCAGTCTACGCAACAAGCCACCTATGAACTAAGTTATCTAATGAAGTGGCTGGATAAATATTAAAGACTATCGATTCAACGCTCCATTCAGACAGATTTATATAGAGACCTATGCAGTTTAGGTCACACACAGGCAAGCAATCGTTTATCAAGCCTATCGAAATTAACAATGACCAGGTGTGTTCTCAACACAAAAATAAACCCCTCAGCTGTGAAGCCTTTTCTGAGCGCAACTAGCACTCAGGCAGAAGGCAGCCAGACATCGGAGATTAATTAGATGGGCTTATGGTACTCGCAAACCACAGACCGTCCGGTTAGGAATATGGGCTTTAATCCACAGGCTGTTAGAACAACACAGACTACTCGAATGAACCTGATTTCCGCCCAGGATTTTTTACACACTGAATAATAATAATTCAGTTGTGAAACGTCCGCGGTGTATAGCTGCAAAACAACCTGGAGGAGGTATGATGTCTGATATACTGACAGGCTTCCCAAGCCTACATAGAAACAGTTGGGATGCCGAAGTTGGATCTTACGGCTAGTAAGGTCGCCAAAGCTACTCAGTACATCGACAAGTCATAAATAAGAGACGAATTAAGCTAAGGGAAAATACGCAGACTGCTAAGACAGGTCAGTCGCGACAGTGGAAGCAAGGACGACAAATCCCTTGATGACATGGTGGTTTGATTCGAATTGTCGTGGACGATGTACGAAGATTGCATTCTTGATCTGACAAACTGCACAACCATCTGGTCCTTTTCATGAGTCTTCAAGAAACATTTCCTGATTCACAATCTACCAACCTCCAACACCTGTGGCGTTGACATGATATCAGCTTGACTGTCGAGGAGAGAAAGCACATGGTCCGAGCTCTCCTAGTCAATAGATTACAGAAGTGACCATCGCGTTTGAAAAACCCCCGGAGACTCTCTGCATCTGATCATCAGTATCAACGAAGCAGTGCACGAGCCTACTGGGGATCTCAGATGCGTAATGCTGAGGTGGGTCAGATGATTTTCAGATAAGACCACTCTCTCGATAGATCAGCTGGTCACACTCCGCAGTTTACGCTGGTCAGGCCGTTTCGTTTGACGTTGGCCTTGTTGAACCGTCTTCACCCAGCCTTGTATCGAACAAGGACGACTCAGAGGCGGTAGGCCCATGACTTGGAAACGAAGCGCCAAAACCACTATTAATCTAGGCAATCACGATGGTAACTGTTGTTTTCCGTGGATATGGACCCTGGAGTGTGTAAAAATCAATGGTTAGTCACCCTGACAGATACGGCTATATCATGAAACCAATGACGCGAAATCTATAGCCTTCACTGCATTGCCCTCAATCTCTGCCACGTCTTTCAAAATAGAAACATTCGACGTCAACGAACTTAATGAGCTAATCTATGGCTTTGATTCCCCTGATGTCCTCCTCCTCGGTGAAGGAAGCTGGGTTTGTGAGCTGAAAAAGTTAACCAAATTTGACTCACAAGCTATCATATTGGTTGCTTTGTTTGGGGCGCTTGTGAATGCACAACAAAGCGTAACGCAGTTCAGTGAAATACGAAATATGAAAATAATAATCGTTCGGCTGCAACACCCTTTCGATGCCAATCTGCCGTCTACTCCGAAGAAAACACGAAGGCTGAGATACCGTCAAGTTGTCCAAGCCCAGCCAGAAGCTGGGCCAGCCAGATGCTGGAGTTGGCTTCTAGCCACGGACCTTTCGGACAATAAGTTCACGCCTTAACCACTGAGCCATCTCGAGCTTGATGTGAAAATGTTCAATACTTTACTGCACCAGTGGATAGAAAAAACCACTTCGGACTAATCATTCAAAAAACAAGTCACGGTCAAGTTAAAAGGAAAACGTACTCCGTACTCCGTTCGAGAAGAGCATTAGTTTCAAGCCGAGTATTTGTTGAATGAGGACAAAACTAATAGCACCACAATTACGTCAAAAATTCAACAGTGAGATATAAGCGGTAGGCGAACACAGCCAATACCTAGTCAAACACTGCTCGCTCCTCTTTAACTCTTGTTTAATGCAAGGTCGACATACCTGGACGAGATCTTGCATATCCGCCAAAGTAACAACACTGTGAGTCGTTGCGAAAGCCCAAAGCTGAGTGTTCACCCGCTGGATAAAGCGCCTGTGTTCCTGTAAAACAGGTATGTGATCCGGACTCTGTCCGTTGGCTCTCAGGAAGGCGTAGGCAGCGGGATACAACTAGATAGAATTGTTAAGTGCGGTTCGAAGGTGGTTACCCTGAACAACATGTCTTGAATACGGCCAATACCGGTATATTCTTGATCTTGTACCAGCTTCCATATCACACGCTGGACAGCATTGTTAACGTCTTGAATGCTTCGAAAGTAACCAGGCTCAGACGGAATAGAAGAATAATCGAATTCAGTTGGAATGGGCTCCGGAAGAGGCATTGTGATGGCACGCTGGCACCCGTGTGTTTCTGTTGACAGATAAAATTTCACACGGGCTATAATAAAAGACGTCAGGAAGCTGTGTAGTCTCAACGTCATCCCCACGTAAAACGAAAGCACAAAAATAGAACACCCGCATGCGCCAAGGGAGAACAAATACGAGAGACTTTATGGATCCACTTTGTTCTCTCTTCGTGATGATTACCTGGCACATCGTTGGTATCAGATTGACTGTATATAGGTATACATATACATGTATACACGGAGGTAGAACTGTAAAGCAACTGTCCCGCAATTTTACTGACAAGCAATTAACTAGAGAACATTTGGGCTGGCTGAAGAACGGGTCCGTTCTTCAGGTTGCTGGGTGGACCAGTATTGGTTCAAGCATACACAATATCCACTTGTTTTTGTGATCGACGTACCCTGGATATGATTTTAACACATATGATCTTTATCACATGCATCTTCTAAATATATTGTTTTAATGAGTCCATTTTTCTATCTTGATGTGTGCTGACGAACAGTAGCGAAATTCCTGTGTCCCGTAATACACTTCCATGCTGTGTCCTTGAGTAATAAAATCATCATTTCGTATTCTTAGAAAGTTCTCCACGTCTGGAATCACAAGCAAGCGTGGTGGATCGGAATGAACTGAGACCTTTACTTACAACATCTGACTTGATGACCATCGTCTCAAGTGGCAAAGCTGTCCTATTCTCTCATTCATGGCGCCATTATCCACACCAGTCATTAGGTCACCAACAAGACAAATGTGAACATTTCACGTGGTCCGTTACACTTCTCCCCACATACCGGACGCAATTAACAACAACACCATCGGTATCAATAAAATTATCACCGGAAGCGACACGCAGCATCATCATCAATAGGATAACATCGGTTTTCAACAATGTTGCTTCGGTGTTGCACATGGTGATTTATTTGAAAGCCTAATTGTGAAGAAAACAATACAAGTGGTAGCGGAAGGGACTTAGTGCTACCCTAGCACGATCATACCCAGGTGCCTGCAGCTCCAGACACTCATCGAGGTATTCTAGGTAGATTGACTGGCAGTTACATCCTGTTGCGTCGCCAACCAGGCACAGAAGGGATCATGAAGTCCCCATCCTGGAAAGCAAGACGCATCGACGGCATAGACAGTTTTCGTCATCCCTTTCATACTCCCTTGCCAGGTCAAACGTTGACCACCTCTCCTTCCGCCACGCGCATTCCAAAGGACGGGATGACCTCAGTCAGCTCATTCAAAAACACCTGCGACTTTTAACCTCCGAAAACCAGAGTGCATCCGGTCTGCATATTCAAGATCAACAGGGTTTTCATCACAGGCCATTTGAACACCGGAGTTTTGGAGACCTATCAGCGTTCGTCTCATTATTTCATCGATCACAAAGTCAAAAAGGAATGGGGAGAGTGGGCATCCCTGACGGACACCACTTTGAATGTGAGCCCGCCGCATATCTCACATGTCCGGAAGTTTGGGAATACAAAGAATTTGTCATATTCACAAACTTCCTGGGCATTCCTTGGTGGGCAAGCGTCTCAAGAAGAACAGATCAGCCGAGTCGAATGCGCCTCGGAAATCCAGAAATACTAGAATCGTGGGTCGCTTATACGTATGGCGTGGTTCTAGCACGTGGCAAGGTGTGGAGATTTGGACAACACAACCCCTAGCAGACCGGAATTCCGCCTGCTGTTCTCGAATCAGTATCTCACGAGCCACCGTAAGGCGACGAAGTACAAGTGACTCACACAATCTCATTACGACCGGGTCAAGCTGACCCCCCTGTGGTTACCACACTCGCCACGCGCCCCTTTTTGGAAAACGAGCACTATCACCGCTTCTCTCCAGTTGTCTGGGACAGATTCCTTTACACAAATGCAAGCAAACAGATCGGACAAGCGCTGACTGAGGACTTCACCCCCGTCTTCGAACAGTGCGGGTAGGAGGTCATCCTCAGTATCTCACGAGGGCGCTTGAGAGAACATATGCAGTCGTAAACCTCCGAGGCCGTAGGTGGTTCCACGTTCACCGTTCAGGGTTCTGCGTCAGTTGCAGCCTCAGAATGAGAGACAGCTACTGGCCATTATAATTGTTGTTCGGCCCAGCGCTCGAGGTATTTCTTATTCAAGATGGCCGCTCCATTTTGATCATTGAGTCTGGTAGATATAGAAGGCTAAGGGAATGGAAGAGGTCTAGAAAGCAGTGAATGTCCTAGGGTGATTTCGTTTGATCCGTTTGACCGGCCCCCGGAAACCGCCCGTGAAGGAACCATCAAAGATCAGAACGGAACGGCCAACTTGAATACGGTGCGGTCGCTGAAAACGTCACTTACAATCCAGGCAGAGGTACTGGGAGTTGTGGAGCGTTTTACTTGTCTTGAAAGTTGTATTAGTTCTGGTTGTAGTGTGACAGATGAGGTGAATGCACGAATCTGCAAGGCTCGGGCCGCGTTTGTTAATTTGAGACACCTATGGCGTCAGAGTGTTTATACCTGAATCTCAAAGGACGTGTGTATCAAGCTACAGCATGGGCTGTTTTGTTATATGGACGTGAGACTTGGCCTATTCGAGCAGCGGAACTGAGACGCCTTCAGGAGTTCGACAATCGTTGTCTCAGAACGATAGCTCGTGTGGGTTGGTGTCGGCGAATGCGTAACGAGGCAATTAGAAAACGGGTTTTGGGTTGTACAATAGGTATTTCTAGCATCAGAGGCTGCGGTGGTTGGGGCATGTGTTGCGTATGTCGAAACGTCGTTTGTACAAGAGAGTGCTGTTTTCCATTCCCAACTCGGGGTGGCGAAAACAGGGAGGTGGCAAACCCCTGACTTGGCAGAGGGTGATGAAGGTATGAAGGGGATTACGAGACGTTTGGATATTGTCAGTGCTTTTCTATAGAGGAAAATGTTGGTAGCTCAGGTAGCGTAGATGGTCGTTGGCTTGTTCGCTGAGCTGGGAAATTTTATTGCAAACTTTCATCACCAATCGAGGTGACATTATCAGTGCGTTATTGGGGAGTGTAGTGGCGCGTAGCAATAGGTTAGTAGTTGTGAACTTGCACAACCCACTGATCAAGACGACGATTGAGGGAGTGAATTGTCGTCTATTTCGCATATTGTTTCACTGCACTTGCCATCATTTGACCGATCGATCGAATCAGTTGAAAGAGGGCACGGCTATTGCCTGCAGTGAGAACTTTCTCCATCTCCTGGTACTTAGTAATCCACCAGCGTTCTTTTTCATTCTTCAAGTTCTTGATTATCTTATGCTTGAGGGATCTGCGTGAGCCATCATACACGCTAGTTGCTGGTATGGCCTTTCTGGTCGCAAAAAGAGCGGCTGATCTCGACGAGTCGAGATCACATGGCCTGGAAAAATAGTTCTGAAAGCCGAGAGCATTGCTTCTTTAAGTCGCTTCCGTTCAATCTCCAAGCCACCCTGATCGTCCACATGACTGTGCGTTTCCAGTAGCTTTCTAACCAGATCAGCTTGACACTATTCAGGCACTGAAACCTATCGAAGTTGATTAACTGAACTGCTTTCCTTTGATATGCATAATGCTGGCAGAAAGCGCATTGCTAACCGGGCCCCACGATGGCGTGATCAGAGTCAAGTTGCGCGACTCAGAAGAAACGGTAATCCTTAAATAAGGCTCTCCATCGGCAACTCATAACCACATGGTCAAATTGAGTCCATGAATGTCATGTGGTAGCTGGCCTCCAGGTAGATCGGTGTGACCGTTTGTGTTGGAAGTTTGTACTTGGTTAGGAACAGACGATCTGCACCGTAACGAAGAGACTGGATTTTACCGTGGTGTGACGGTTTGTGTACCTAAGCAACCCGTTGAGCTATACTAGGGGATGTCCCCACGACACTCATAGAGTCTCTCATATCAGGTTGGTCCATGGGTAGAGGTCTGACGAACACAGTCTCCTGACCCTCCAGGTTGAGATTGGAACATATATGGCGACGTGTTCCATAAAAATGGTAATGTACTTGCATTTCCAGCCCAACACCGCTGCCTTGCGGTTAGGCTTTTGAGCCAAAGACTTGGGTTGAGGACCCTAACCGTCTTCCTGCCTAGGTGTGGGAGCCTTGGCAGTATCCCAGCCCTCGTACAACCATGACATTCACAACTCACTGAAGAAGCTGCTCCCTGCTATCCGTACGCTCAGCATCGACTCCAAATCTGCCACCTAACTGTGCCTCTTCCGAACTTGGTCGTCCAACTTGGGTATTCATATCACTCGTCAGAGTTACTATATCCGTCCTTCTTGCCGACCTAAAGCTGCCACATTGACGTGGTGGTCGGGCTTCAGTGCTGCAATGATCCCGCGGGCTACACTGGCTGGAACTTCGTTCCACAAGGTGCAACCATGCCAGGAAGGCCAAAGGGGAGCAGCCAGACCAAGAGCAGCGAGACCCCGTACTACGAGTAATCGTGCTACGAGGCGGTCTGGG